CCCCAAGTTTATTGCATAGCCTTCCAACATCAATTGAGGCTAGCCGATTTCAGCAGAATAATTGTACAACTAGTATTAGGAAGTTGAGTCCACTCGATGATTCAGGGGCATTCAATGTTTCCTCTGGTTTCTCAAATAATCATTTACTATCACAAGGAAATACCCCACCAGCACATAATTCAGGAGCATTCAGAAATCACTCTTCTCTTAAAGATGTTTCGGTGAAAACACAATCTTTTGACCCTGACATATGTGGTTCATCTAATATGCTGGATTATAATCGGTGTAATAAAAGTTGGAACGGAGCAGCTCAGATATCTAACTTTTCCGCCAATACTTGTGCAGTCAATAAAGTTTTCAATAATGATCATAACTTTTCCTCGTCCACCTTTTGCAGTGGGAACAGCCCAGTTGATTTTTCTTCCACCTGTGCTATTAATGTTCCTTTGGAGGATACTAGAGGTAAGCTGCAATGCCAAGAAGGCTTACTTGAGAATATCTTTCTAGCTTCATGTTATACTCAGCACCAAAGCTGGGAAACAGATAAGGATGCTTGCAACAAAGACATGACTCAAACCTTTAATCCCATAAATTCTAGTGTTTCTCCCAATGGAGACACTAGTTCTTTGGGACATAATTTAGATCAGAATGATACAGTTTGCAGCAAGAGAGTTGATGAATCTTTGGTTGGCCAAATGAAAGGGGTTAATCCATCAATGACTCGTGAAGTTGAGAAATTCTCTTCAATAAAGTCATCTCAAGAAGGACTTGTGCAAAATAGTTTTGGATCCTTGGATGACATAATGAGTGAAATAGTTAAACAGGTACACGATCAAATTGTTTTACATGCTATGCTTTTAGATGTTTATGGATGCATTGACGTTTGCTTTTATTTGACTTAAAAATGCAAAGCTAATTTTCTCGCCAGAATCTTCCTTTAAGCAATAATATTGTAAAACCAGGCGTGCTAAACAGATTATGTGTATTTCTTTGCGTAGCGAGAGTGAAGGGCTATACTTGTGATGTTTCCAAAGTTCAGTTTCAGTTTTTGTCTAATGGATGTTTATGATGCAGGAGCGAAATGCGATTATGTTGATGGATGGAAAAATGGAATTTGATGCTTATCACGTTAGATCATGCATTTGATTCCTTCTAATTCGCCAAGAATCTTAGTTGTTTCATCATGTAATTTTACACAGATGTATTTCCTGTTTTACTATTGCATATAGTAGGTGCTACTCGTACAGTAGTAACAACAATTCTCCTCTCTCTTGTTGATCCTTTTATTTATTACTATTAATAACCAGCAGATGATTCTACAAACTACTTGACTACAGGTTTAACCTCTCACAACAATTACTTTTATCTAACTTCCATTCTCTCCCTTCTTATTTTGTTATAAACAATGAGTTAACATTTCAGTATTGGATTCACTTACGATAATCAGAGTACGTGAAAGAGTTAGAACGGAACTCACTTTACGCTTGTTTTCTACAATAAAAATGTCGCGAGGTTGAAATGTGGCACTTCTCATTTTTACTAATTCCACATCTTTGGATGAATTTTTAATAACACAAGTTAGAATTAAATTGGAACAAAAATTATGTTATCCAGAGCAAGTTTATGATCTCAATGAGGAACAAATCACTTGGTCATTTCTAGGAGACCATTATTCATGAAGGACTCATCTCGATATGCATCGCCACATTGTTATGCAGTTATCTTAATTCAGTAGTTGTTAGGACTGAAAATGGAAACTCTCGCTTTAACATTGATCATTCCACAATGGTACAATCAGGAGATTCAGGACAATAACCCAAGTGAGTGGCTCTGCTGTGCAACCATTATTAAATTTGCCGAAGTTGGTAAACATAACTTCAAGCAGAAGATATCTGTGATTTTATCGCATAGTTATCCAATAATGATTCAAGG